AAGAATGGGGGAAGTATTATAGACACCGCTAAGCAAGTGGCCGAACTCGCTTGCTCGGCGGGACTCATGGTACGCACCATTTATCGGTAGGGTAAAGAGACTGGTAGAATATTATAGAGGGAAGCACAATAGATCAAACTGGTCGCGGTGCATGGGGAAACCCACCCTCTCTAAATAACTAATTAGTGATGGATGAGAATGGTGATTGGCTTGCAGATTCCCACAATATTTTGAATAGGTGGAACAACTACTCTCTCAGTTATTGAATGTACATAGTGTCAGTGATGTTAGCCAGATAGAAATACATACGGCTGAGCTGTTAGTACCTAGTCCTAGCCCTTTTGAGGTTGAAATTGCTTTTGCAAAATTGAAAAGGTATAAATCGCCAGGTAGTGGTCAAATTCCGGCAGAACTTATTCAAGCAGGAGGATAAATATTACGTTCAAAGATCCACAAGCTAATTCGTTCTATTTTGCATATGTTAAAATTGTGTCCATTATTGTACCAGTTCTCAATAAGTGTGATAAAACTGACTGTAGAAATTTTCGAGGGATATCACTGCTATCAACTTCATACAAGATTTTATCCAATATTCTTGTATTATTCTCTAAATGTTAAGTCCATACATAGATGATATTATTGTGGATCATCAGTGTGGATTTTGACAGAACAGGTGAACTACTGATTAGCTCTTTTGCTTTCGTCAGACAACTGGAGAAAATGGGAATAGAATAAGAGTAGATCAGCTATTTATAGACTTCAAGAAAGCCTATGATTCTGTTAGGAGGGAACTATTGTACAATATTCTCATGGAGTTACGGATACCAATGAAACTAATCAGGCTGATTAAGATGTGTTTAAACGAAACGAATTGTAATGTCTGTATAGGTAAATATTTTTCTGATAATTTCCCTATTCTGAATGATATAAATCAAGGAGATACTTTATCAGCAGTCCTTTTCATTTTGCTTTAGAATATGCAATTTTGAACGTCCAGGAAACCAGGTGGGACTGAAATTGTATGGGATACATCAGCTGTTAGTCTATTCTTATGTGAATAGACTGGGTGATAATATAGATACCATAAAAAGATACATAAAACTTTATTTGATGCAAGTAAGGAGGTTGGTCTAGAAGTAAACACAGCGAAAACTAAGTATATATTGCTGACTCGTCACCGAATTTTGAGCAAAATCCTCACATAAAGACAGATAACATGTTTTGAAAATGTGGGACAGTTGAAATATTTGGGAACGACAATAACAAACGAAAACTTGATGCAGAAGGAAATTAAGGGATTGAACTCAGGTAATGCTTGCTACTATTCAGTCCACAACCTTTTGTCTTCTCGTTTGCTGTCTAAAAACATACTAATTAGAATATCATCATCTTCATCATCATCATCATCTACATCATCATCATCATCATCAGTAATCTGTCAAGACGACAGGTCCACAGTCTCTTCCAAGACAATTCCTCCATTTAATGCGATCTAGACTTTTCTCCTTCAAATGACAGTATCCTCTTCTGTCCCCAAGGTCATCCAACATCTTCTTACGTTTTCTTCCTCGTCTTCTTGTCACTTCTATCCGCCCCTCTATCTTTCCTTCAATAACTTCTTTTAGTGTGCAGTTTCTGCGTAAAACATGACCAATCCAATTATCCTTCCGTTTTCTTATTTCGTGTAGGATATTCCTCTGCTCACTGACTCTAATTAACACCTCTTCATTTCTCACATAATCGGTTCAACTGATCTTCTCCAACCTTCTCCAACACCACATTTCGAAACTTTCCAGATGTTTCTGATCTACTGTCCTAAGTGTCCATGTTTCAGCCACATACAGAGCTATGCTCCAAATGTAGCATTTCACTAGTTTCTTCCTCAAATTTAAGTCCAATTTGCTGGTAAAAGGATTCTTCTACTTGCTAAATGCAGCTTTTGCCATGGCAATCCTGGATTTAATTTCACAAGTACACCTTCCATCATCTGTTAACAAGCTACCCAAATATTTAAAACATTTCACATTCTCCAGTTGTTTTTGGTCTATCTTTATTGTGACTGGGGTTGGTTGTCTCGAAATTTTCATTACTTTTGTTTTCTCCACATTCATTTCCATGCCATAGCACCTTCCAATTTCAATTAGTCTATCAATCATGCCCTGTAGCACAGTTTCTTCCTTAGCCATTAACACAAGGTCATCTGCATATTTCACAGTTTGAATAATTTGCCCTCCTAATTCGAAGTCTCCGAGCCCATCCAGAGATTCCTTGGTAAGGCATTCGCTGTATAAGTTGAACAGAATTGGTGATAAACAGCATCCTTGTCGAACTCCTCTTCCAATCTGCACACTTCCTGTCTGCCCTCTCTCCAGTCATACTCTAACTTTCTGATCCATGTACAGTTTGCTAATCAATCTTCTTTTACGCCAGTTGATACCTGTTTCCTTTAGGATCTGCATTAATTTTGTCCAGTTTACATGGTCAAATGCCTTCTGCCAGTCTATGAAGCAAACACACAATTCTTCATCTATCTCCAAAGTTCATTCTGCTATAATTCTCATCATCCCAATTGCATCCCTGGTTCCTTTTCCTCTTCTAAATCCTAACTGATCTTCTCCAAGTATATCCTCTATTTTCGTTTCAATTCTTCTTTTAAGTACCTTTGCTATTATCTTTGCTGTATGTGCAATAAGGCAATAATCATCTCCTGTAGCCTTTCCCTTCCTCATTTGCTTGATAGCTTTTTCCACCTCACTTTGTAAAATATATGGTTCTTTCTCATCCGTATCCACTTCTTCCGGTTCCATTTCCAAGATTTCTGGCCGATTAGGTCGATCATATAGTTCTGTAATATAATTTTCCCAAATTTTCAGCACTTGCCTCTGATCTACTATTCTATTCCCCTGGGAGTCTTTGATGCCAATATTTTGAATCCCATGATTCTCCTTCCATCCTACTTCTTTTGTCTTCATGTACATAAAATTCATAACGTCCTGTCCTTTGAAATTACATAATTTCATTACATATCTTCTCAAGATATTCCTTTTTGGCCCTGTCCTTGGCTCTTTTCAATTCATTCCTCAGTCTCCTGTATTTCCTACTGCCTTCTTCATTTTTACATTCTTCCATTTCCTTCGCTCCTCCATTTTACTCATCATCTCCTGTGTAATCCATGGTTTTCTTGCTATCTTCTCAACTTTACCAACCAAATCACTGATAGTATCTAACATGCATTCTTTTATATTGTTCCACTGCA